TTTTTAAATCTTTTGCGACGCTCTTTAATCCTAAAAACATATTAAGGCATATTATAAAAATACACCGTGAATAGAAAATAAATCATTCAAATGATTGCAGTTTATCGATCTCGAGTTCATTCATCTCAAGACAATGTAAACAAAAGGAGACAAGATCACAAGTCTGTTCGCGCAAGGTAGCTTAATTACACTATTGTCCAAGTCTTTTGAAGTACCTTCCGCAGTTCCTTTGGTCTTCTTCCAAAATATCTCACCTTTTTCGAAACGAATAAAACCGAAATCATTCGACACGTTTTCGGCAGCCACCGAAAGCAATGCCCATAGGAATAAACCGAGCCTTCGAGGTAAAAAATCCAGCGGTGTCACCCATTTCAGTAAGTCACAAATAATCCGGGCTGGAGTTGTAATGTGCGAGTACAAAATTTATGGCCTTCATAGAAGAGTAGTGAACACCGGTTATCAAGACATTTAAATCTATCTGTCTTAAAGAAACTACGGAATATACATATAAGATCAGCTTCGTTGGTCTTCGTTAGGACGAGATAAGGGCTGGCGTGACATAGATAGAGTCACAAATACAGCAGGACTCAAGTTTAAATCTTTTTTTTTTAAATCGCCCTTCGGTGACCAAAAATCATTAAAAAATATATAAATTATAAGAAATTTACAAGGAGAGTTGTGTTGCGAGAGAATTGATATAACGTCCACAACGTATGTAAATGATTGTGCTGAATCAGCGAAAAAATTGTAATGTTCGTTTTTTTTCATCACATTTTACAATTATCTACTCTAAATGGATATCTTCGTGTGATGTTTGCAAGCCTTAGATTGGTTTTTGCAATAGAACTGGTTAGCACTCGTATTTTTTCCTCAGTAAAAGCATTTTTCTCACACAAATGTTAGGACATATCTTTCTTGCAACGCGAGCTAAATTCAAATTTTGTCAAGATATTGCGAAAATTAGAAAATAATCGAGTTGTATCGGTATAATGATATTAATTGGTTAAAAGTTGCACTTACTTGCCACACCTGTGTTAGACTGTACTTTGTTAAGGCTCTATTCGCAAGTTTTATCTTCGGCTTCCAGAGCTTAACATCTAGCTGAAGTGTTGATTGCAAAGGCATCTGTCACTGCGCAACAAGATTTTAACCCTGTGACTTGATCACGTGCTTAAACTTAGGGTATTTCCCGCTTATGATACAAACTGACATAAAGGCAAAAAGAAAGAAAAGAAAAGTGGGAATTAAAGATACAGGTAGTTATGCACGCTGAGAATTTTCCTCGTGCAACAATTTTTTTTCCGTTTAGCCTCTATTAATTGTCTATAAAGAAGTTCTATCGCGCGTTGTGGGCAAAAAAAAAATTGTATTTCGCTGACATTTGCTGACGGTGGTATTTCGATTTATTTTAGCAAGTTAGATCACAACTACAAAGTCATTACAATGAAAGATGGATGTTTTCATTGTTAAGTCACCATTAAATAAAGTAGACGTGTAGAATAATTTTTTGTGTGCATTTTGCTGACTTAAGAGTTTTGTCGGTGGACATATTGTAAAATACGATGATCTCATATCAACGCCCAAGTGTACCTGTACCCTTACCCCGCAAGGGAAAACGGAGTTTCAATTTGCGGGGGAGGGTACGGTCATACAGTTAGGTCATCTCAGTCGGCCCAATCCTCGGCTTGGTAAGTTCTAAGATGGCGTCCGTCATACATTATCCTAAATCTCGGAGAGATGAAAATGCGGTAAATGATTATCATGGCTCGAAGATTCACGATCCTTACGTTTGGTTGGAAGACCCAGACTCGGAGGAAACGAAAAGATTTATAGAACAGCAAAACGCTATTACGATGCCCTATTTATCAGCTTGCGAGACGAGAGAAAATTTCAAGAACAGGTATAAATGCGGGCTTTGTTTTAGGACCAAGGTCACACAAGAAATCTCTAGTCCACGTTTCCATTTGGTAGACTCAATCTCCTAAGAAGATTAGCTCAAAACGAGTTATCACCCCGGGAAAATTCAGCAGAGTTTTCGTGATTTTTCAGGTCCCGCATTTTTGCGTTCAGAATGACATGTGCAAAATATACGGGGATATATTGAATTGTTATAGTGTACCTTAATGGGTGTCAAATGATTTCCTTACGAAGTCTCTACGTCTCGTTCTCTACTTATGTTTCTTTATTTATTTACTTTTATATATTTTTTGGCATGATTTTATTGATTTGACATGACATTGATTTGACATGACTTCCCCCAGCTCAGACGTTAAACGTTTGTGAAGGACTTAAAAAGGTTGTAAACAAGTCTCCATTTCCATTGACAAATGTGATTCAAAAAAGATTTAAATTTAAAAAAAACTGAAAAGTAGATAAGGATGGAATTTAAAAAAAAGGCGAAAAAGAAACTGATAATAAAAATGCATATTTTGAGTGAACGAAACAAAATGTATGAAGTAATGTTATGTCAATAGGTTCCAGTAGTTCAGTTGATTTTAATGGTACTTCTTTATTTCAGGTTAACTGAGATGTGGGACTATCCAAAGTATGGTTGTCCAATTAAAAAAGGAGCAAAGTACTTTTACTTACATAACTCTGGTCTGCAAAATCAAAGGTGCAATATCTTAGAGGCAATGACCTTTGTTGCGTACGAAAATGCATAAAAAAACACAAAAACCAGGCACTTTTACTAGGAATTTATGCATTTCATGTTTGAATTGCCTGTTCAAGCACTGTTCAGAATGAGGAGAAAGGACAAGATCCCCATAAACTTTTCAAGTACATTTTACAGTTGAAAAATAAATTTTCTTGAAGCTTTCTTCTGACTCACAATTCAACATTCAAAGTCTGTTCTTTTTTCATATAAAGGACAAAATTTACTTGGATTGTGTATTGTGACTTATTTATTGATATTTATCAGGCTAAATCAGTAACAGGGAGATGTGGTTTTAGATCAATTATATGCACATTAATATAGAATTTAAAGCTTTACTAGAGCAATATCCCTGTATCTCTTTATTAACTAAAAAACTAACTGCATCTTTCATGTAGATTCAGTGAGCGGTTCGACCCAAGGAAAGCAGTTGACTGTGTTGTATAATTGTTCAGGTTACAGTAATCCCTTAATTAGGAACTGTTGTCTGTGCTAGCAACAAGCAGAACATGGGCTATTTTCAGAGTCAAGAGTAATAGAATTATAGATCTCTTCAAGTACTCCAGGACATTTGTATAAGGTGCATAACTGTTTCTCTTTCTTTCTTGATACTTGATTAATGATGATGTGTGATTTATATACATTGTAGTGTTTTGTATGTCCAAGACTCTTTGGAAAGTGAAGCACAAGTATTTCTTGACCCCAATAAACTGTCTGAAGATGGTACTGTGGCATTGGCTAAAAGATCTTTCTCTGATGACGGAGAGTTCTTTGCTTATTCGTTGTCACATAAGGGATCAGATTGGGTCACCATAAAGGTACTGATAGTATGCTTGCACAAAGAGTTTATTTACCCTTTCACTTCCACAAGTGACCAGGACAGAATTTCTCCTTACAATATTAAAACAATATCAAGCAGGCAAGTGATGAGAATAG